TGATATATAAAGTTATATAAACAAATACATAGTTTTAAAAATAAAGTCTTTAAAGAGACAGTAATATTAATATAAAAAATAAGCCACGTAAAGATGAGTATTACACAGAGAATCTGGATTGTGTTGTCTTTGGGACTTTTAACTGCAGAAAAACATTAGATTGTAAAAGCTGTTGAGTTATGTCAAAATGTATACTTTAAAGGTACCTTGACTTCAAAATTTGGATATAAGGATATGTTGCTTTGGAAAAGAGTCTCTTTTGTTTCCACAGAAAGCCAGAGGCTATGGATTTGTTCAAGATTAAGATACATCAGGTTTGACCAGCCAAGACCCCCTGAAAGGTCTCCGATGAAACCATGGCCCAGATGATCCAACATCCAGAACGGTTTGAAGGCAACTGGCTCAGACGATACAGCCTCATGGACTATTCCATAATCCTAAAATTTTCTTTGTTTCCCCATAAGATACAGCGTCCCCCTCCAGCAGGAAGTAGTAAAAGAAGCTACGCCCAAATTCCCAAATTATATGTAATTTTACTTTGTTAAGGTTAAAACCTTCCTTTTTGAAAAAAAAAAGGGGGAAGTGCTGTGGGATGTTCTGTATGGCAAATGTGTTGCTGATCGGTCAGTAAATAAATCACTGATTGGTCAGTGGCCAGGCAGGAAGTGTAGGCGGGACAAGGAGGAGAATAAAGCTGGGAAGTGGAAGGCTGAGTCAGAGAGACACTGCCAGCCGCCATGATGAGAAACAGCATATGAAGATGCCGGTAAGCCACGAGTCATGTGGCAAGGTATAGATTTATAGAAATGGATTAATTTAAGCTGTAAGAACAGTTAGCAAGAAGCCTGCCATGGCCATACAGTTTGTAAGCAATATAAGTCTCTGTGTTTACTTGGTCGGGTTTGAGTGGCTGTGGGACTAGCAGGTGAGAGAGATTTGTCCTGACTGTGGGCCAGGCAGGAAAACTCAAGCTACAACCTAAAATATCAAGAAAAAAACATATCACAAGAAAATAAAGATTCCTAGGAGTAACAGTAAGCTTATTAACTTTAAAAAAATAGAAATAGGGGCTGGAGAGACAGCTCAGTGATTAAAAGCATTGGCTGCTTTTCCAGAAAACCTGGATTCAATTCCCAGCATCCACATGGCAGCTTACAACTGTCTGTAACTCCAGTTCTAGGGGACTTGACACCCTTACACAGACATATATGCAGGTAATTCAATGCATATAAAATAAAAATAAGTAATTTTAAAAACTGGAAATACTCAACTGCAAAAGCGAGCATACACGTAGATCTGAATCTTTTGAGTCTGGCCTGGATTAACAATGACACTGTAATCTGTTTAGAACACCATTTACTTTCCAAGTGACCAGGGAAGAGTGTTTTAACCAACTTCTCAGCTAAAACAGGGAGTAAGCTTGCATGTTTTACTGTGATTTTTAATTGTTTAAAGATTTATTTTATTTTTGTGTATGAGTGTTTTGCCTGCTTCTATGTCTGTGCCCCAAGGGTATGCCTAGTGCTCATGGGAGTCAGAAGAAGCTGTTGGATCCTTGTAACTGGAATACGGATGGTTGTAAGCTACCAAGTGGGTGCTGGGAACTAAACCCAGTCCTCTGTAAGAGCAACAAATGCCATCTCTCCAGCCCATGTTTTACTATAATTATTAATAGCTTTCCTGTTTATACTTATAAAGGAAAGGAAAATGAAACACATTCAACAGTTATAATAGCACATTAACACCAATTTCAAAAACCTTTGCAGGTGCTAACTTTGCTATACAATCTAGTATGCCTAATATTATGCACGATGGCCATATGTAAGTTTTATATTACTATACAAATCTATATCACCACAAAACAGGGTGAGGTTTTCACTGCACCAAGATTCTTAGATATACAAGCTGTTTCAGAATAAAAAAAAAGAATTAACTAAATGAATCACTGTTTGGTTTAAAAATGGCAATGCTGATTTCTTTTTCTTTAAAATAACTTATATATTTTTAATTCATGTGTATTGGTGTTTTGACTGCATGTATGTCTGTGTGAGGGTGTCAGGTCCCCTGGAACTGAAGTTACAGAAATTGTAAGTTGCCATGGGTGCTGGGAACTGAACCCAGGTCCTCTAGAAGAACAGCCAGTGCTCTTAACCATTGAGACATCTCTCCAGCTCCAATGCTGATTTTTGTTTGTTTATTTGTTTTGTTTTGTTTTTCGAGACAGGGTTTCTGTGTAGCTTTGCCCTTTTCCTGGAACTCACTCTGTAGCCCATGTCGGCCTTGAACTTACAGAGATCCCAATATGGGGATTGAAGGCATGCGCATCACCACCCAGCCCAATGCTGATTTCTTTTTTTTTTTTTTTTTTTTTGGGTTTTTCGAGACAGGGTTTCTCTGTGTAGCTTTGCGCCTTTCCTGGAACTCGCTTTGGAGACCAGGCTGGCCTCGAACTCACAGAGATCCACCTGGCTCTGCCTCCCGAGTGCTGGGATTAAAGGCGTGCGCCACCACCGCCCGGCTCCAATGCTGATTTCTTAATGCTGTATTTTACACATATCTTTCTCAAAGTAGAAAATTACCTAAGGAGGGTAATAATCAATGAAGGCTAATATTCCCTGAGCACAGTAGCACACTAGTGCATTCTTCACATTCATTAGCTCACTTCATCCTTAATCTAAAGAGGTCTGAACACAGCTATCATCATGCGAACTGAAGAGACATAGATGGGTAATTCATATAAAAAGTGGTGGAAGAAGGTTACAACCAAACTATCACAAACATATTAAGGCTTACTGCTACTGTGAGCAAACACCACCATCACCAGTGTCTGGAGCAGACGTCCTAGCTACAGATCAGAATCACCTGTAAGACTCTCCCCGACCTGATCACGTACCAGAGCCTCATCATATGTGGACCACTGGCCTAGAAAGGGAGTGGAGCAAATGTTGGGGCTCCCCAGATGATTTTAATGGGCAGATAAACTAGACTAAATGAATCACTGTTAGACTTGCAATTGGCAGTACTGATAATAATAAAGAGGCTAGTGTGTATTTGCGCACAATGCCAGGTGATTTTAACAGACAGATAAGATAAAAAACCATTAATAATTATTTCCCACTCTGTTAACCACTCCAAATAGTCAACTACAACCAAACCAACCATCTGAGCACTTTGCCTATTCTATTTCCCAACAAAGTGTTTAGCTTTTCTTCTTGAAAAGAGACATTACAACTATACTTGAATCTTTTCATTGTGCTGTTCTGAACCCAAGGCAAGCACTCTACAACTGAGCCTCATGCCCAGCCCTGGCTGAACCTCTGTAAATAAAATTCACCCAGCTTTGATTTGACGTGAGGATTTTAAGGACCATCACAGACAACATGAAAAAGTTTGGAAATCCTTTTGAGCCAGGGTCTCTCTATGTAGCCGTGACTGGCCTGTAACTCACAGATCCACCTGCCTCTGCCTCCTGAGTGCTGGGATTAGACAAACGCCACCACATCCATTTTTTGTTATTAATTGCTTCTTAAAGCACCCATAGTCCTTAAGTTTAAAACAAGAAGAAAAAAAGTCCTAAGAGTCAAACTAAAAATTAAATAGCAGGTTATGACACTAAAAATATTGTGATAGACATTTAAGTTGTATTATTCATAATCGGCTATATTCCTTAATTAAGCGTGTAATGATGGTTAAAACAGCTGTTATTATGGTGCAAGTCCCCTCTCCTTATCCATGTAATAGGGCAATGATTATGCAGTGTTTTTGCCCTGCTAAGTCACCTAAATACACACTTAACAGGTGCTAAGAAACCAAAGCATTACATAAGCATACCCAAACAACAACATGGCTAGTCAGTATGACTGCTCTCAGCAACACTGAGAAATGGAAGGACTCTGCTGACAATCGTATGAGTCTCACTGTTTCACTCACTGACTTATTCACAGCACATCCCACTCACCCTACATCAAAACACAATGAAAAGTGCTCCAGACATCTTCAGCCTCGCTGCCTTTTTATATCAGTGATGAAGCGATATGTAAGGACAGGAAGTTTGAGCTATGACTTTTAGCCAGAGATATCAGCTGCAAAAGAGTATCAAATAGCCTAAGCTGTACAAACTCCGGACTTTATCAGGGAAATGTTACAAAACTTAGAGAACTTCCTCCTTCCGGACAGCTCATTATTTGCTTCAAGTCTACACATTCCTTTATTAGTCATGACCTTTCAGGGTGCTTTCATCCCTTATTATCTGAATAATATTGGGCTTTTGATGTTGCTAATAAGCCTTACAGGAACCCTTATCAAACAAGAAGACAACCGAGAGTCCTGCCCCAAAGCAGAACGATTACAGGAAACTCAGTACTTGTAATTCGTTGCAAACATGTATCTTTCTGCCTAGTTTTATGTCCACCTGTATATTTCTATTATATATAATGGCAGAAACTTGAATTAGTTTTGCAAAAATTTACTCTTAGGGAACTGGGAAGCCCTGTGGCTATGTGTGACAGACACAACACGGTAAACCTCACCCGTACCCATTGGCCACTGGGGTCTTACATCCCAGATCTGACCTCTGAGACATATGTCAACAGACTGTATGGCACAGTCCCGAAGGATAACGGGGAGGGGGTGGTTTACCAAGGTGGATCCCATAAAATATATAGGCACTTCCATCCCTAGGCTGAAGGGATGGCCCATAAAGCAGTCCATCTTCCCTGCTGGGATCCCACACATCCCCCGGGCCGTGGGGCCTGCTCCAGGACCATGGGAGGGAGGGGAGGCAAGGCAGTGTCTGTCCCCATTTGGGAGTCCTAAACAAATGGAAACAGAGCAAGTTCTCACTTCCTGGTCGCCGGCCTTTCCAGAAGGCCCCCCCCCCCCCGTCCCGCGCCAGTCACCGGGGACGGGGGTTCAAGGAAAAGAGGACTCCGAGGGGGTACCGGGGCCCACCCAGCCCGCGCCTCCCGTCCTCGTCCTAGCCCTCGCAGGGCCTTCCTTACACGGTGACGTGACCGGAGCCGCGGACCACCACCGGGTCGGGCGAGTACTTCAGCAGCTGCTCCTCCAGGGCCCGCTCCTCGTCCTCCTCCTCCTCGTAGATCTCATCGAAATCCGCCATCCCGCGCCGGCGAGCCCCCCGCCCGGGGCCCTGGCTCTGGGGCGGCCGCGGGGGAGTGGGGGGGGGGGGGACGGCTGGCGAGGCTGCGGGCGCGGAGGCCGCGGAGCTGGCGCTCGGCAGTGTCGGCTCTGGCTACTGAGGAGACCCGGTCCCGGCCGCCGCCAGCGCCGCCGCCGCCGCCATTACCGTGGGCAGGAACAACAACACAATGTCAACATCCGCCGGGGCCGCCACCACCCCCGCCAGAGCCGCCGCCGCCGCCGCCGCCGCCGCCGCAACTCCGGCAACCACAGCAACAGCCAGAGCCACCCGCAAGCAGGAGCAGCCGGCTACCGCATCGCGAGACTTCCCGGGAGCGCGGGCGGAGGGGCGGGCGGGAGCGCGGGCGAGGGCGCGGGCGTGGGCGCGCGGGCGCGAGGGCGGGCGGGCGGGCGCGCGCACGCGGGAGGCCTCGCGCGCTCCCGGGACGCCGGCCTCTGCCTCCGCTTCCAGCCGCCGGCGCGGCCCCGCCCCCAGGCTCCAGGGTCACCGACCCGGAAGGCGGCGTCGGCGAGGACCCGGGCGATGACCCGCCCCACCCGACCCCACCCTCCACCCCCGACTCGACACCGAAAGCCAAGCTGAAGTCATCTCTAGCCCAAAACAATGACGGGCCCCGACGGACGGACGAAGCCCCTGGCTGGAAGAGAGAATCTCTGGCGTGGGGACCCAGCTGAATCATCTGATCTCAGTGTTGTTTTGTTTTGTTTTTTTTGTCAGTGTCTTTTTAGTACACGATGCCAACCAAAGTTGGTTGACTTCCCCAACTTGAGACCAACAACAGGAATAGTGCGTTCCTGTCCGCAGTTCTACCTGATTTCCCAAAAATCTCCAAAAGTCAAATATCTGGTCCTTTTAGCCTCTCAAGTACAGCCCCGGGTCTGTTTGTTTGGTGGCGGTGGTTGTTTTAAACAAGAAATCTCGCCATCATACTATCAAAAAGTTGACAAATTCTCCGGGTTCCAATTAAGAAAATGCAGTTCTATGCTTCAACTCCCTAACGGAAGATAATCTGTTCTTTTCCATTAAAACCTTACCAGTTTCCTCCACAAGAGAGGAAGAAGGGAGTGGGGAAGGGGACAGGAGAAAAGGGGGGAAAAGGGGAAGGAGGAGCAGTTGGCTTAATGGATGGGTCACCTTGGACTTGGTTTCATAATCGAGAGTCTGCCAGGCATACAAACAAGCCCAGGGACAGGACTCCTAAGGACAAAATGGACAGTGGAGTAAGGAGAGCTTATCATTGTACTGGGGAGGAGAGCATAGCTGTGCTGGACCCAGGCAGGGTCCTGCAGATGGTTCTCCACAGAGTGCTCACATCCTTGGAGTTCGTTTATGGGTCTTTGTCCAAGCAGAAAATGCACAAAGGTTAATGCGGGTGGTGAGAAACGCTGAGCAACTAAATGTTGGAAAGAGTTGAGGCAGTGAGCTAGGAAGGGAAAAATAGTTGGTGTGTCAGACCTACCTTCCCAGATTTATTCATTCAATAAACACTGAGCCAACTATGTGACAAGTTGTGCGTATGCGTATGTGTGTTAGAGTCCCTGGCAGTCACATCTGTCATTAAGCAATTGTGATTCTGTCAGGTGTTCAGAGGGTATGCGGAGGTCTCCAATGGAGCCCATACATAGGAGGCAGCTCAGTTTGGTAGTTCTGAAGCCTGGCCTTGAATCTCAGTCTACCACTTGTTATGGGACCCCGGACAAGCCATTTAACTTCTTGGTCTTTCCTATGTAACAGGAAAACAAAGGCGGGCCATGGTGGCACACATCTATAAAACCCTAGCAGTTGAGAGCTGGAAGCAGGAAAATCAGGAATTGAAAGTCACTCTACAAAGCCAGTTTGAGGCCAGTTTGGGCTGCAATAGACCCTTGTCTCTAAAATAAAATAAAGATAACAGTATCTACCCCTCTGGGCTACTTGACAGACTGTCTTGACACATGTGGAAGGCTTAGGAGAGAGCCTGGCACACAGTGAATATAGTCACAGGCAACATTCCTGATTCTCCCCAGCTTTTCTGCTGTGAAGATCACCACAATCCTTCCGCATTGTGTCATGTGTTGGTGTCTGTAAAGTATTGCTAGTTTCAGAGACCCTCTGTGACCTTTCTCTTGGTTCCATGTGCATTTAATGGTCTCACTCGGGACTTCAACTCCAACACATTAGCTGCAGGAAGCTCCTGAACTTCCTCCTTGGCCTTAACCAAGAGACCAGCGGCCGCACTCAAAGGAGTGGCTACAAAAAAGGAGGGGAAAATGGGAGTAAGGAGGAGAAAAATGGGCCTGTTCTGGTCAGGGCCCACACCCTTCATGCTGTGTGTGACCCAGAATTCTCCTTTCAGTAGAGACAGCAGCTGACCGCACAGCTGAGAGCGAGCTTTCCAGGGACTGACTGACCGGTGGAGAAAACCGTAACAGACCCCTTCCTTCTCCAGCACCCTCCACAGATCCCGCCTTAGGGGAAGATCATGTTTTCTGAATTGAGACGTCTCATGACCGGCATGATGGCCAAACATTGGGAGTTAATGAGGCATCAGCGGACTTGCAAGGACCTCACTCTCAACACGGGCGCTGTATGGGGAGAGCACTCTTGTCGGACCCCACAGAGAGGTCATTCTAACGCCCACTGCCTAGGTGTAAAGAGGAGCTGCTTTTTCTCTTTTTGACTCTTCTTCCCCTTCTGAAGAAGCTACCAGTGTCAGAAAAAGGGCGTGAGACCTGGGAATGAGGCCAAGAGGATGAAGAAAGATGAGTCAAGTGTTTCTCTGTAATAGTTGACATCATAATTCCAGGCTCCACCCCCAGCCTGCCAGGATTGTTTCTTGCCAAACTACTTCCTCCGCCTTTCCTGAGGATGAACCAACCTTTTTGGTATTTCCCCCTATACCTCAGGAGTTCTCCTGTGTTCACAGTACCCACCCTTGCATACATTTCTGTCCTTTCAAGTTCCTGTCCATACTCCTCATGTCTCCATTTACCTTCAGACCAAATGGCTCAAAACAACCAGGACACCTTCTCAGTGACCCCAGGAGGCAAGGTTCTAGTTGCTGTTTGGGGGGCGTGGGAGTGAGACAGCCCCTCACTTCATAGCCCAGCCCGGCCTGGAACGTGTCCTCAAACTTGTGGCAATCCTTCTGTCTCATCCTCCCGGATAGTGAGGAGTTTATTATTCCTAGATTTAAAGACCTCCAACTAGCCCAGTAGTGGTGGTATGGTGTAGTGGCACATGCCTTTAATCCCAGCGCTCAGGAGACAGAGGCAGGAGGATCTCTGAGTTGTAGGCCAGCCTGGTCTACAGAGTGATTTCCAAGACAGATAAGGCTACACAGAGAAACCCTGTAGTCAGGCTTTCTTGGGACCACCAACTCCCCAATAATGACGTGGAGACTTATTATTCATTATGAAAGCTTGGCCTTTAGCTTAGGCTTGTTCCCAGCTAGCTCTTATAACTTAAATTAACATGTTTCTATTAATCTATGTTCTGCCATGTGACTTTTACCTTTCTCAAAATGTGTCCATCCAACTTAATGTCTCACTAGCATCTCCGTACTTAGATTCATCCCGAGTGCCTCTCTCTCCATGGAAGTCCCACCTATTCACTTCTGTCTAGCTATTGGCCACTCAGCTCTTTATTAAACCAATCACAGTGACACATCTTCACACAATGTAAACAAATATCATGCAACAAAACCCTGCCTTGAAACCTCACCCCCAATCCCCTCAGAAAAGACCTCCAACTTTTGTCAGGACAGAGCTAAGTGGCCTTGGGCACATTTATGATATACATATATTACTTTTTTGTGTATTGGTGTTTTGCTTTCATGTATGTTTGTGTGAGGGTGTTGGATCCTCTGGAACAGAAGTTACAGACATCTGTGAGCTGCCATGTGGGTGCTGGGAATTGAACAAAGGTTCTCTGGAAGAGCAGCCAGTGCTCTTAACCTCTGAGCCATCTATCCAGTCCCCACATTTATCTTTCTAAGCTTCTTCACCCTAACTGGAACCTTTGTCATGGAGTTATGAAGGACCAAATGAGAAAATAAATGTGCTGTGGACTGCACTGTATCCTTCCTTAAAATTCATATGCTAAAACTTTAATCCTCAATGTGATGATGGTCTCAGGATATGGGGCTTTTGAGAGCTACATGGGTTTAAAATGATCCTAACAGCTGGGTTTCCAGAACAGGATGTCTACCTTGATAGAGACAGCAGAAACCCCACCCTCTTCCTCTCTGCCATGTGAGCAGATGGCTACCTGAAAGCCAGGAGAATGCTCTCCACACACTGGAGCCTTGGTCTTTGACCTCCTAGTCTCCAGACTAGAACTTTCTGATATTTAAGTCACTCATTCCAGGTGGGCAGCCTCCTCACCCCTCCCAAAACACACAGTCCCAGGATTTCTCCCACACCGTTCTGGGGCTCACCTGCCACCACAGTTGAATAGGAAGCAGCCTTTGATGATCAATAAGGAATATAAAATATAGAAAAAGAATACCCATTTCTTTATGATTTGATGGTGACCCATGGCCTGGAGTAATACAGGTTAACTGCCCAGTGGCTTCCAGATATAACAGATGTGAAGGGAATGATTTCAGCATTCATTGACTTGTCCTGGGGACACACACACATCAGATGAATGAACCCACCTTGTGATAGCCAGTGTCCGGCCCCCTAATGCTGATGTTCAGTTTGATGCATCACACCACAATAGTAAGGAAGGAGAATTTGGATGTTCTGGCTCCTTCAATGGGAAAACTGACATAGAACAACCATGAAGAAATAAACAGGGCTCCTTATACACCCCCCAATAGTGAGACAGGAGAATTTGGAAGTGTTGGTTCTGTCGGTGAGAAAACAAATTGGAATCAAGATCAACCATGAAGAAGTAAACAGCGCTTATTATATTCCCCAGAAGCCTGGCATCATTGCAACAAAATCTACATCCAGTGATATTCTTGATTTTGACTACACA